CTATCTTCTACCGCTCCCCCAAGGATTTCAAAGGCTATCCTTGAACCTTTACCCAAGGATTTATACGGCTATCCTTGACCGTTACAATGTGAGAATTTAACGGCTATTCTCGACCGTAAGAAGGTGTGTTTGAAGAACACGAAATAGGATTCTACACAACGGCTAGAATATAAAAATGAAGAACAAAACTTAGCCGGTGTAGAAGGAAATTATACTCTCTCAAAAATACAATACAAACTTATGAATATGAGAGTATATAACTAGAAACACAAGCTCAAAGTATGTGTATAAAATTCAGGAATTTAAGGCTCTTGAAATAGCCAAAATACTGAAAATAATTGATAAAAGGATGAACACACTTAGAATAAAAAGAGAGGATGTTTAGAGCTTTGTTTCTTGAAGAAATATGAAGGATTGGGCTTGTATTTATAGTGGAAGATGTTAATTAGCCGTTGGGAGGTGATTATGGTTGATTTAATTCAAAATCACAAATCAGGAACAGTAACCCAACGGTCACGGTAGGGGGGTCCCGTCCATACGGTAGGGGGGTCCCGTCCATACGGTAGGGGGGTCCCGTGCTTACGGTAGCTAAGTACCTTCTCAGGCCAAAACTCTCTGGCGGTACCCCTTACGGTAGGGGGGTCCCGTCCACACGGTAGGGGGGTCCCGTGCATACGGTACCTTATGAACATTTTGACAATTTTTTCATTTTTGTCCAAATCATTTCCAATTTTGTTTAAAACCTTTTGGATGTTTGAAAATGGTTATAAAAGGGTTTTAAACATATTTTGTGAGTGTTTTTGAGCTTGTGAATATAGGTATATAAAATCATATCCTTACATTGGTTTCTACCTATATTCTACGCTAGTTTGGTATTTTAACTTCATTCTTGAGTACCGAATCTTAATGGATTCTTGTTGTACCTGAAACACTTAAACAAACGTCAAGCTCTTATATTGTTTGTTAACATCAAAACATGAGGCTTAGCAAACCAAGGCTAACAGGTCTAAAACATCGAAATGTTAGTGCATAATTTTGGTGTATACTTTAGGGTACATTTCATGTGGTACCTCTAGCATGGTTGTAAATATATTCACTCAATATCTTTTACAACCATTCTATTTTAAATTTTTAACTCACTACTCGTAGTCAGCTACGTGTCCCGCAAACTTTAGAAGGCATTTAAGAATGGAGTTAAGTGATGCAGATGGGTATCCGGGGATAAGCTAAATCGGAGAGCTAAATACGTGTACTTGTCTCGTTTATTGAGCTAAATATCAATTGTGATTCGTTGAGGGAGAAATATATAGACTTTAAATAGCATCGTCCGCCCATGACAAAGTACTCATAACCCAATTTCTGACGTTATATTCTATTTAACATGATGTGAAGAATTAAGTGTTCGAGAACCTTTTCACACTAATGTGCCGCCGGGTGTATATGGGCAATGACTTTGCCCCTTCTTGGGCTCCAACGTAGCCCCTACCAAGTATCAGGCGTTAATACAGATGATTATGACCTTTCTATGTTAGAGCCCGACACTAAAAGCTTGAGCAAAGGAAAGGCCAACAATAGCACTTTTTAATTTTTTAGTATTTGTAATTTTAATTTAAGTTTTGAGCATGTTAAATTTTCTCCCTTTTATTAATATAGTATTTAGTAACTTTAATGTAGTATTTGCTAATGTTTTTATTTTTTTTGTTATTTTTTATTATTTATCTTATTTTCTTAATATATCTAATTTCTATAAGTTTTTGACTAAAATGGTGAATAATGTAAAATATGTAGAGAGACGAGGCAAGAGAGAGCGATAACATTACAAGTGTTTTGGCCTGGTACAGAAAAAGAGAGAGATGATAATGTGGCAGGGATTAGGGCAAGGCGAGAGTCCATGTCATTGTAAATGTTTTAATCACAGATTGGTAATAAAAAATAAAGCGTGTACATGATATTTGTAAAAACTTAAACTCAACATTTATCTTTTAGAGGGTGTTTGAAAGTGATTAACTTGTTGATAAAATGATTTTCACAAAAGCTGAAAGCAAAAGCACCTCAAACCTGCTTCTCCGAAACGGTGTTCTATGTACAAAATAGTGGTGGTGAAAAGCAGAAGCTGACATGTCAAACAGAGTAAAATCACTTCCACTCAAAACAGAAGCTAAATTATTAAAAGCAGCGCACTGCCAAACACCCTCTCTCTTAACATTGTTACCAAAAGTCGAATTCCAATGTTATTCTTTGTTTTACCAACTGTGTAAGGACGGACCACATATTGAACCTTTAATGACTTTTGAGGTAGATCACTTCAAGTAGGCAACAATCCATTTCATACAAAATTACAAATACAGCAATTAAATTGTCAATGTTGGAGTCGTCTTTCTTAAGTGTACCATCAACAGATACTACTCCGTAATTCACTACCTTAATTATAGGTTCTCAGATCTCAATGGATTCCTTTCTTTTCCCTGCCAATAATGAATCCCTCTACCCTATCCTATCCTATCCGCCTCCATCGCCAAATCAGATGAACTCCACGGAACAAATCTCGAATTGATTTTGATAAATGGGTTATCTTTCATGTAATTCCCAATCTGCAGTTTCAATCTCCGATTCCAAGAACACCCAGAACAAGAAGAAGAAGAACAAGAACATCAGCGCCAGCAGCAGCAGCAGCAGCAGATTCATTCAAGAATTCAGCCACAGTGACCTCGAAGCCGCCACCAATGGCTTCTCCGACAAGAAGCTCCTCGGGAAGGGCAGCCATGGCCTCGTCTACAAGGGCGTCCTCCCCGGCGGCCGTCTAGTGGCCGTCAAGAAATCTTCCAGGTCTCCGAGGTGCCTTGCTTCGTCTTCCTCCTCCTCCTCCGAGAACCCGAATGAAATCGATAATGAAATTGAAATCTTGTCCAGGTTGCAAAACCCTAGGGTGGTGAATCTCGTCGGGTTCACCACGGGTGAATGCCGGGACCGGCTTCTGGTGGTGGAGTTCATGTCCAATGGGACTCTGTTTGATGCCCTTCACACCGATCCCCGCCCGCCCGGTTGGGGCAGGCGGGTGAAAATGGCTCTTCAGACTGCGAAAGCCATTCGGGCACTTCACTCGTTGGACCCGCCCGTGATCCACCGGGATATCAAGTCCGCAAATGTGTTGATTGACCGAAACTCCAATGCCCGTTTGGGCGATTTTGGGTTGGCATTGAGGTGCCAACAGGACGACTCTAGGCTTAGGTCGACCCCACCCGCGGGCACAATGGGCTATCTTGATCCGGGGTATGTTACCCCGGATCATCTGAGCCCGAAAACCGATGTGTTTAGCTTTGGGATATTGTTGTTGGAGATGATTAGTGGGAGAAAGGCCATTGACGTGGCGTACTCCCCGCCTTATATAGTTGAGTGGGCCGTCCCTTTGGTGAGGCGAGGGAAGCTCTTGGCAATGTATGACCCTAGGATCCAACCCCCCAAGGACCCAAGGGTGATGAAGCAATTGGCGGTCGTGGCCACCAAATGCGTGAGGTCTTGTAGGGAAAGGAGGCCTAGTATGGATGAGGTCGTCGAGTGCTTGAGTGAGTTGAGCAAGTCGGTCCCGCTTCATCCGTGGGCTAACGGTCTAACCAATCCGTGTTTGGTGGTCGAGACCGTGGGTGGTGGTGGTAGGACGCCCGGTAGGGGCGATGATGGGAACTTCGATGCTAAGAAAGTCACAAGCAATAAGCCATTGTGGGGTTCGCGGAGAATTCATTCGGATTTGGGATCGCGGAGCAATTTGATGGATTTGATGGCGGGAGTGGATGGGGGCTCGGGTTCTCGGGCAAGTCCCAATCATGGTGCTTAATCATCATCATCATCATAATCATCTTCTTCATCCAAATTCTTGTGTGTTTATACCAGATGATCACATTGTTTTGAATGAGATTAATGTGTTATTATTTCTTCTATATCTGAACTCTATCTAATTGCTCATACTTAGGATTTGGTTGAGCCATAAACATCACTAGTGTGAGTTGATTTTAGGCAGACACAAGTTTAGTGTAGCCTTTTGCTGGTTTTTGTTGGTCCTTTAAATTTTCCCTTTGTTTTTGGTCTTCAAAGTTTAATAATGAGAAAATGTTTGCTCTCATATTGTTGATGCATTGTTTTTTTTACCAAGTACTTTCCATTTTTATTTTTCCTTTCATTTTCTATGAAGTATATTTCCAAGCAAAGTAAAACCAGAGACTTAAGGCTATGTTTGGTTCGTGGATCTCGAAAGAAAAGGAAAAAAAAGTTCTTTCCTTTTTTCTCACCAAAACGGAATGAACTATTTTTCTTATTTAGTTCGTTTTTTTCTTCCATTTTTGGAAGTTTGTCATTGTGTTCTATTGTGGAAGTTTGGAGTATTAGTTAGAAATAGTATGATACATTAAGAGTTAAATAAATTTGGAAATACATTATGACTAACCATCCAATTTTTAGTATCACAAATATTATAATGGTGAGTTAAACGTGAATAAAGGAAAATGGGAATAGATAATTTCAAAATGTTGTTGGGATAAACTTTGAGAAAATTAATAACACAATTTTACCAAAATGCCTTAAAATTCTTATGGTTTATCTAATTGTAGTGTTTAATTTTACTACCACTACTTTTTTACAATTAATCTACACCATTAAAAAAATGGGGAGTGATAATCCAACTCCAATTGTAAGATTGTTACACCACTTTAATTGGAGCACCTACGGTGCTCTAATTGTAAAATTGATTGTTCATACTCTCGAACCACACATTCATCATTATAAATGGTCTCTTTGTGCAAATTTTGGGAGTGTGTGCGTTAATCACACGTTCATCATTATACGTGTTGGAGCTTGATGAAGATGTCGTAGATTGATGAAGAGATTAATGGATTGATCACGAGCTTTATCGACTGATGTCCGAGCTTCAAATTCAGTTACCGATGATTAAAACGAGAATAATTATCTAGGTCTAAAGATGTTAAAAATATAAAATATGATGTTTTGGAAGTGCATATTACAGAACTCACGTTTGATATCTGACTTTAAATGAATCCATACTTGCATTGGATGATCATGTGATTAAGACACTCCCAGATCTAGAACAGATAGACAATTGGTGTAACAGTTTTAAAAGTCTAGGGGGTATTGGTGCAATTTTTAAAGGTTTTGGAGAATTCGTGTAATTTTTGAAAAGATCGGAGGTAAATAATGCAAACTCATATTTTGACCCTAAAATCTAAAAATAGTAAACCCAACCAATCAGTCAATGTTAAATTTAGACACATCAATAATTTAGCTTTATTGGAATAGACGAATTCTTACATGGTCTTAAAGTCCATATTCATTTTATGTATCTTCGTACCTACATTGATGTCATAAAAGAATTTGGCCGTTTGCAAAAAAAAATCTTTTCACGAACTAATGAAAAGTGTGAAAAATGTTCGCATTTTACATGTGGAGCTTAGAAAACAGAAGATCGTTTGGTTATGTCCAAGCTGGATACATATTTGATTATTAAAATTAATTCAGTATGACTTAAGAATTTAAAATTAGACAAATATAGAGATTAAGAAAGAGAGTAATTTAATAATGCTTACAAATAAATACGACTAGTAGTCGCAATGAAATGTATTATGACACACATTAACACATGCAAGATACAATAATAATCTGGATCCAACATTATTTAATTAGAAATTAGAATAAATTACCACCTTGACCTTAATTGGTCAAACGATGCTAGCTGATTAATCTCGATCTCTGTTTCTTTTAGGCTGTTTTTACGGATACATATAGACAATACTCCGTATTATAATTATTAATTAGTATTTACAATTAAAATTAAACCAATTGAAACCTTGCTAGCTAGCTAATTGCAGCAGCTCGGGTAAAATATAGTATGTATATATAAATCAAATATAAATATATAATTAAATGCGAGAATGGAGACATACCTGAGACAGAACTTCGACGTGGAGGCGAAGAGGCCGTCGGAGGAAGCGCTGAGGAGATGGCGGTCCGCTGTGTGGCTCGTCAAGAACCCCCGCCGCCGGTTCCGCATGGTTGCCGATCTCGCCAAACGTTCCCGCGCCCACCGCGATCGCCGCCAAATGCAGGTATCGATTCGCCAATTTTGATTATAATTTTAGAATTTAGAGGGAAACTCCATGTTTTTTTTGAAATCATAATATTTAAAAATTGGTAGAAGAATAAAAAAATCTTATGGTACTCTCTCATATGGATGTCATAGGTTGGGGGCAATAGCTCTAGTGTTCGAAAAAAACATTGGTATACGAATAAAAAAATTAAACTTACTTTTTTAAAAGTTACATTAAAAGTTCTACAAAATAAAATATGAGAAAAATAGTTTATTTTATCAAATAATCAATGAAAATGCACTAGTGGCAAGGATTTTTTATCCAAGCAAAAAATGACTCAAGAATGGCCCATATATTTTAGACACCTAAGATACTCTCTTGGTAAATCTAATACGATCATAATAAAATACATTGTAATTTAGGTTCAAAATTCAAACAGTTGGACTCGTAAATGTCAAAGTTAAACAAATATACCGAGTAGCACACAGTTTTAAGAGCTAGGAAAGCCCACCGGGTGGGTTAGATCAAATTCGATCAAATTTGACCCATTTTTAGTTTTATGAGATTTTCATACTCATCATGCCATTTCTGACTTACTCCCTTCATTCATTTTTAACTCTTTGGTAAGCTTTTGGGACATAATGTTTGACAAACAATATTACTTGAAATATAATAGTGAAAAAATATATACTTTTCGATGAATCTATATTTGCACTAGATGAGCGTGTGATTAACGCACCCCCACATCAGGCGCAAAGGGACCATTGGTACAACATATTTAAAAGTTCAGGGGCACTGGTGCAATTTTAAAAAGTTCAGGAGTAAGTGGTGGAAAGAATTTAAAAAACATTATATACTGAAAGTATTTTTCGATATCAATAATTTGATTTAATTTTAATTCATTGTATACTTTTATATATAGTTAGTCAAACGTTTGATAAGCAAAGCAAAACACACTTAAAAAGGAGGAAGAGAGGGAGAGTAATTACGGAGCTACGGTTATAGTTTAACACTTGTTTATTAATTACAAGTTTCTTCTATTTAATTGAATATAATTAAATTTTACTCCGAATTACTCCACAACATTCAAGTCAGGGCTTCCTCTCTGAAAACTTAAGCCGCCTGTGGTCGAGTCAAAAGCTGCTAATTAATTACATTTAATTATTAATTAAATGGTTAATTATACTCCCTTCTTCTTCTTCTTCTTCTTCTTCTTCTTCTTCTTCTTCTTTCTTTTCTTCTTTTTTTGGCCACCTCGCTCTGCCATGGTACGTTCTCTTCAATAAGGTCTGTATTCTCTTCTTCTTGATGCCATTTTCCATTTTTTCTTTTTCTTTTTTGTCAAGGTAAATCAAATAAACATATGCTCACGTGCATATATACTGCATGGGTAAAACTGTAAAAGTGTAAAAACCCTCATTTCTTTGTGCTGTGGAGGAATGTAAAACCCCACGTTTTTTATGTTCAAGATCGTATTAATAACAACGTGATTATTTTTTTTACTAAGAGGCTCAAACCCCACGTTCCAAAAAGATGTTTATGTTTTTTTCTGCGCATCTCAAAAAACATTTCTATCCACATCTATAATGTCTTAAATTTACATCGTCATTTCTCTTTTCTTGCGCATAGAAGTTGTGTTTAGGGTATTTAATTTTAGACACTCTAGGTTGGGTATAAATATTTTACGGGATGCGCAAAAAATGAAACAAGAACGTCTTTTAGAAGCTAAGGGAGATAAATACACGCATCAACTCTTTATATACACACCAGGATTGTGTACAGTGGTTGAGATACAATAGAGTATAATTAAGATACAGTTTTTAGTGTACTCCTAACATTTTTCCTAATTGAAATTACTCTTCTATAAATATTTTTATAGGGGATAAAATTGGGTACATTTTGATTTCCCATTAGATTATATTGGATTGCCTTGAAAATGAGCATTACTACACCTTCCAACCAAACTTTAGTCTTGAGGGAGATATACTGTGTTTGGTTTGGCCAAGTCCAAGCATAATTGGTATGGTTGCTCAACTTGAAGGACTTTTCTTTTTATTTTGGAGTTTGTCAAATAAACCTGCTGTGGAATATATATAAAGGGACAAGAATATTATTAGTCTTGTGTACGGTTTTGTACCATTTACCCTCCTAGCTACATTTTACACCACACCAAACAGGACCTAAGACATCTTTGAGCAGGACAAAGACTTGCTACCTTTGTTTAAGGTGGCTGACTTGTTGGATCTTTGAGGTTGTGGTTAATTAGCTTAATTGAGTCCCAAAATGTCTTATATACCCCCTAGGACCCAATGAACCAAGGAGAAAGTTTTGGGGGTAAGTTGCCAAAGTTGCCCCTGCTTTTTTTATTTATGGGAGTGAACAAACTGAGGGCAAATTTGTCAAAGTGAAGCTCAAAATCTCACACAAATAGAGGCAAACAAATACAACGGGACAACCCAAAACGGGAAACAAGAGAAGTGTATGAAGAGAGGAGTATAAAAGAGAGTAATGCTAAAAAGTGATGACCATTAACCAATGCATCCTAGAATTACAGAAATGTCTTTTCTATCAAATATTTTTATAGCTAGAATCCAGTCATAAGGATTTAGGCCATATTTGATTTGATTCTTCATAATCAACTAATTCTTAAATAGTTGATTCTGGGCCATTTTAATCAAAGCCAAATGAGCCCTTAAGTCTGCAAAAGATTAAAACTTCACTGAAATTCCTGCACAAATCTGATAATCTATGTATGCATTCATATTGTCACGAGTTGAGCTGTCTCTTTCATGTCATTTTGTTCATGTTTTAGGTTTAAAATTTTGACCATTTTACCACTGTTCAATAGGAACAAGCTTTAGTGCATTTAAAGATTCTAAATTTCTGATGTGTTTTTTTATTTCAATCACAGGAAAAGATGCGAATACTTCTGTATGTACAAAAGGCTGCATTGCACTTCATTGATGGTATGGTGTTGTTTCCTCACCTTTTGACATAAGGTGCAGTTTGGTAGGGCGTAATTAAAACCAATGTAACCCCATAGTTTCATTACACCTTACCAAACTTAACCTTACCAGTCCTCACATTACCAAATGTCTAACAGTTTGATGTGTTCTGCCATAGTACAGCAGCCAGCCAATATGATCAGCCAAGCATTACAGAAGAGGTGAGGCAGGCCGGTTTCCACATTGACCCGGAAGAGCTTGCTTCCATTGTCCGTTCCCACGACTCAAAACGCTTGGAGTTGCATGGAGGATTGAGAGGTTTGGAACAAAAGTTATCTCTTTCTCTTGAAAACGGTGTTCCCCTGAGTGAGATCACGAAAAGGCAAAATATCTTCGGGTTGAACAGATTTGTTGAGAAACCTTCTAGATCTTTCTGGAGCTTCATATGGGATGCCCTACAAGATCTTACTCTCATCATCCTCATGGTTTGTGCTGTAGTCTCTATATCCATTGGTATCGCCACTGAGGGGTGGCCAAGAGGGGTTTATGATGGGGTGGGGATACTTCTTTGCATTCTCTTGGTGGTTTTGGTCACTGCAGTCAGTGACTATAGGCAGTCGCTGCAGTTCAAGGACTTGGATCAAGAAAAGAAGAACATCAAGATTCACGTAACCCGAAATGGGAAAAGAGAAAAAGTTTCCATCTATGATTTAGTGGTAGGGGATGTAGTCCACCTGTCCATTGGAGATGTAGTCCCTGCAGATGGGCTGTTCATATCAGGCCACTGCAGCTTATCCATTGATGAATCCAGCTTGTCAGGGGAGAGTGAACCGGTTAATGTGGAAGAAAAAAACCCATTTCTTCTATCAGGGACCAAAGTACAAGATGGGTCAGGGAAAATGGTCGTGACAGCTGTTGGGATGAGAACAGAGTGGGGGAGATTGATGGTTACCTTGAGTGAAACCGAAGACGAAGAGACACCATTGCAGGTTAAACTGAACGGTGTGGCCACGATTATAGGGAAGATCGGTTTGGCTTTTGCTCTCTTGACTTTTTTGGTTCTCACAGGAAGGTACATATCAGTAAAGGCAAGGGAAGGTGAAATCAGAAAATGGTCAGGAACTGACGCGCTGAGTCTCATGAATTTCTTTGCCATTGCAGTGACCATTCTTGTCGTTGCTGTTCCGGAAGGATTGCCATTGGCAGTGACATTAAGCTTGGCTTTTGCAATGAAGAAATTGATGAACGACCGGGCTTTAGTTAGGCATCTCTCTGCTTGTGAGACAATGGGTTCTGTCACCTGCATTTGCACAGACAAAACAGGAACGTTAACCACAAACCACATGGTAGTTACTAAATTATGGGTATCTGGAGAAACCAAGTCACTAAATCAGATTAGTGACCCGAGAAACTCCATGAAGTCTTCATTATCAGAGAAGGCATTGACAGTTCTTTTGCATTCCATATTTCAAAATACGGGAGCGGAAGTCGTGAGGGATAAAGACGGAAAGAATAACATAATCGGCTCTCCAACAGAGACAGCATTGTTAGAGTTTGGTTTGACACTTCAAGGAGATTTCCATTCAAAAAGCAAGGAATTGAAGATTGTGAAACTCGAACCTTTCAATTCAGTGAAAAAGAAAATGTCTGTTCTTGTGGCTCTTCCTGGAGGTGGTGGGCATCGGGCATTCTGTAAGGGAGCATCAGAAATCATATTGAGAAATTGCAATAAAGTTCTTGACAAAGACGGGCAGTCTATGGCCCTATCTGATGATCAGAGGAATAATATCTCCAATGTTATAAACACATTTGCTTGTGAAGCTTTAAGAACACTTTGTTTGGCTTTTCAAGATGTGGAAAGCGATTCTAGTATTCCAGAAAACGATTATACACTGGTAGCTGTCATTGGAATCAAAGATCCGGTCCGGGTTGGCGTGAAAGAATCTGTTGAGACTTGTTTGGCTGCAGGAATCAAAGTGAGAATGGTGACAGGTGATAACATCAATACTGCCAAGGCCATAGCCAAAGAATGTGGCATACTGACTGAAGATGGTATAGCCATTGAAGGCCCTGATTTTCGCGAAAAAAGCCCTCAGGAGATGAAGGAGATAATGCCAAAGTTGCAGGTTCATCATCACACCGACTAACAAACTCAAGAGCGCATTTGGTTACCTCTATGAAAAATCAAATTCCCTATTTTCACTTTCTATGGAAAGTAAGACTTTCCATAGTGACCAACCGCGCGCTGTTTGAGAATCATTCAATTAACTGCCTCAAAGAAGCATCCATCTCTGAAGATCTCTTGTTTTGCAGGTGATGGCTAGATCACTGCCACTAGACAAACATAAATTAGTGACTATGTTGAGAAAGGATTTCCAAGAAGTGGTGGCCGTGACTGGTGATGGCACTAATGATGCTCCTGCTTTGCATGAAGCCGACATCGGATTAGCCATGGGCATAGCGGGAACAGAGGTCATCACTCTATATTAAAAATAAAATATCTCCTCCTTTTCTTTTTTGTTCTGCAATTATTACAGCCAAAGGTTCTAGTGCCTCCAAATCCTAGCTGTTTCCCCAATAATTTTAAGGATGTGCATTGTAGGTTGCCAAAGAAAGTGCTGATGTTGTGATAATGGATGATAACTTCACAACTATACTGAATGTAGCAAAATGGGGTCGCTCAGTCTACATTAACATCCAGAAGTTTGTTCAGTTCCAGTTAACAGTAAATGTTGTCGCTCTCATGACAAACTTTGTTTCTGCTTGTATTTCAGGCAAGTGAACCATGCGGGGTGGGGAAGTGGGGGTGGGGGGGCTAAGGGGTGAAGTACCTCATGTCATCGTCGCTCTGATGATTTACTTTTTAACTCTGTGATCTCAGGCTCAGCACCCCTCACAGCAGTTCAGCTGCTATGGGTGAATATGATAATGGACACCCTGGGAGCTTTAGCACTAGCAACAGAACCTCCAAACGATGAACTTCTGAACCGGCCACCCATTGGAAGGACAGTCAATTTCATCACAAGGATCATGTGGAGGAACATTATAGGTCAAAGCATCTATCAGCTGGCAATCCTTGGTCTCCTCAAGTTCAACGGCAAGCATCTCCTACATCTTGAGGGCCCATTTTCTACTGCAACTCTTGACACCATGATTTTCAACACCTTTGTCTTCTGCCAGGTTGGTTTCTCTGTTCTTGAAACTTCTTTTAACCAAGCCCCCAACTCTTTGAGCAATTTGTGGCCGTTTGGTAGCCAATTTTTCCAGCTTAGCAAATACCCATTCAAGTATCAACTACTCTCTCCATTCCATAAAATGTCATGTTTCATTATTGTACATTGTTTCAATTTTTAGTAAGGTAGAACTATTAGAAATCATCAATTATAGCTTTATTCCATAACAACAACCCAGTTGGATCCCACAAGAGTAGAGGAGTCTGGGGAGGGTGTGTCTAGACATTTCGTTTAGGTGTAAGGTTAAGTTCACCATTTTAGCCTCTTTTTTAAAATAATTTTTTCTTTGCTTGATCAAGAAAATAAGTTCAATTTATTCATAATGTATACATTTGGACAAATTCCTTAAGGGCAGCCACAACTTCAATAATTTTAATGATTTCAAGTTTTCAACCAAAATCACTCTTACCAAACCGGCTTGGCTATTTTCTTGGAATTCTTTGAAATGTCAGGTATTCAATGAAATAAACAGCAGGGATATGGAGAAGATAAACATTTTCAGAGGCATGTTTGGGAGTGGGATATTCATGGGGATCATACTCTCCACAGTGGCATTTCAGGTTATAATAGTGGAATTCTTGGGGGCAGTTGCAGACACAGTGCCATTGAGTTGGAACTTATGGTTAGCCAGCATACTGATGGGAGCAGCGAGCTTGATCGTTGGGGCTGTCCTCAAATGCATTCCTGTTACACTAACCAAGGACAGTGAAACAGTCAAGAGCCATGATGGTTATGAAAAACTCCCATCTGGACCAGACCTAGCTTAAAGATTAGTTAGAACAGCTGCAAAGCTTTGCTCCTTGCCAAATTATACAGGATGTAGCCAAGAAAATTCATTTACTAGCTAACTCTAGATATAAGGTTATTTTTCCATTACATTATTGAGCTTTGAGACTCCCCTAGCAATTAGTTTTTGCCTGTTCCACTTGATTTACAGTAAAAATTTAACACTAGTGTGTGTAAGTTGGACATGGCAACTCCTTATTGATCACAGATTTCATTTATTGAACTATTGATGTAATTGGCCCTGTTTGGCAACAAACTATTAGTTGTAAATTTTTATGATAGTTGTTTGTGTCATTTGTTTTAAAAAGCTTGAAAAATAAACTTTCTGTGAGCCAGCCTTGAAGCTGCTCCAAAAAAACCTTTGAACAGCTGCTAGAGAAAGCCTGAAAAACATGCGTCTTTTGGACCAAATTACTTGTTACATACACTTCTACCGCTGTCTTTTAGCTCAAAAGCTTTATACACAAAAAGGTCCCCAAAAAGCTACTAGTCAAATAAGTTCACATAAGTTTCTGAACAAGTTCAAATAAGTCAATGTTACGTCCTACAACAACAACAACAACAACCCCGTTGAATCCCACAAGAGAAGAGTAGGGTTTGGGGAGGGTGTGTGTACGCAGACCTTACCCCTACTTGAAAGTAGAGAGGCTGTTTCCAAAGAGACCCTCGGCTCAGCGTCGAAAGTTGCATTGATTGACTAACTGCTACTTCATTAATTAAAGAAGAGCAGACAATTTAGAGATCCATTTTGCTTTATTCTATCACACCCAGTGAATTTTTGGCTCCACTAGAGTTCCTCAATGTTACGTCCTAAAAAGTCGATAATTCGACATAATAGGAGGCGCAACTCAATGTCATATATGTTAGCACAGTAAGGAACTTAACACACACTACATTAGCTCAAAAACATTATGCACCAGAGTACTTCGTAAATGCAAAATCAGTTGCCACAATTGTACTGTGTTAACCCACATGAACATGAACAATAACAAATTATTTTCACAAGTAGTACGTATGGCCAGAACGACCAACCTGTTTCAGAAACTGACAAAGGTTAATCAGATCTAAAGAAAATTGGCAATTCCAAACATCAACTAAGCTGAAGAGTTGTCTTGCTTTCTTACAAACAGCTTGTTTATGTCTTCTGTGACGACATTGCTCCTGAAAATATCCACGCGAAGTTTTAGTAAATCATTACATTCAGAAGACTAAAAGTAGACATGGATTGGGATTAGCTTTGTTCTTCACAATTACTGTAAAACAAAGGTAGAGCAACATTAAAGCTTCTGGTCAAGTAGGGGAAGTGTAGAAAATGTATTTGCTTTTAAGTGGGTATGTGACATAAACATTTCTCACACTTTCTGAAAAATGTATCCAAGTAAACCTCCAACGGCAATAAGGCAACAATGCTAAATACAAACTTTTACTACAAGACACTGAAAAAACTATGATACATTTATAGCTTTCATCCGTTTACAAAACAAAAGAGGGTAAATACAGGAAGATAGTCACTTTTAGTGACAATAAGATTTTCCCCACTGGCAATAAATAAGTAAAGTTTCCTTCAAACTTTTACCACAAGCTTATTTAACATGCCAAAGAAACCAAGTCATATTTGCATCAAATCGAGGTTCTACACACTTCCTCACAACTGTCACTCTAACTAGTGAAATACTGAAATGGCTTCACTTAGTGTCTTTGTATGATTGTATCTCCCATTCTCCCTCATGCCACCCTCCCATATCCTCACCACAGCTCTCTGAAAACTGAATCACTATGCCAAAAACAGTGTCTATGTCCCACTCCTGACTCACCCCTAACAAAAATAGACTCTGTTTTTAAAAGAAGTAAGGTTGCGTACATATGGGGATTATACTGTTGTTGTTGGTTTACTATAGTAGATTGATAAAGTATTGAAATTCAATCCTTTTTTATTCAGTTGCTGATGCTGCTATCTATTATTTTCTGCCACTATTACTGCCATTTCCGCCAGTAGGCCACCGCCTATTTTGTTTTGCCTAGTAAGTGTTACTGATTTTCCTTCTCAAATTTGTTTCACTTTGATGGTTTCAATTGGTGTATACTTTTAGTTGTTTGTGCACTAACTTTTATTGATTGTAATTATTCAATTACAAAAGTATGAGCTTTAATTCCATATTTCCATTCTACTGGTAGAATATCTGAAGAACTCCATTGGTAAACCAAATACTGCACAAACTCTTAAAAGTTGAAATACATACAAAATACAACTCCAGAAAATATGCTCCTAGTGGTAGACAACTTGAAAACAACAGGTACTCCCTCCACTCATACTTAGGTGCCCACCGTTTTAAAAATTTATGGTCCTTTGTATCTGTCCAATGGGTACAGATATGCGGCACGGCATTGATTATTTTCCCCAGTGTTAGCATTTAGACTTTATTACTCTTAATCTTATTTCTAGCAGTTTACGAAATCATAAATAAGGGAGTATAATCATAGGACATATATAGCACAGTAAAATCATCAACAATTACTAATGCTCTGAGAAATAATAGCGGCTATTTCACTAGTAGATACTCAAACTTACCTTCCAGAAAGTTGAGGTGGGAGTAGAAGACCACTTCCGGTGTCAGGAAAATTCTTTGTGTGTGGCAATGAACCTCTTGGAACTTTGTTGCGTGGATAGCTGCTTGATACTGGTCCATTTAAGTCTCTCTTTCTTGCATTTTCAGCCATTGCCGTTGCCACTCGAAAAGAATGGTCAGATGAATGTTCAAGATGAGATGGCAATGAAGGTGAATTCAAAAGGAACGAAGCATCTGGAAGTTTCAAGTCAGACGATTGTGATGGGTGGGAAGATTCCAATGTTTGCTTCTTTGAAGACGGCTCTTCTCCTCTACATGAGCAAACAAAAGTAACCATAAAAATGAGAGGCTGAGAACAGTATCAAATAAAGAGTATAAGAATATGCATTGCCCTATTCTTGAGATGCTGCAATTGCACATCTTGACAAGACTGTAGTCCCTGGAAATTAATCACACTAGGAATCTCAGCAGCATGAATTAAAAAAATCACAACTTCCCCCCACAACAGAGAAGAAAAAAAACATCTTCCGTGGGCATCACTATTTACTTAAACGCAACAAGCCTGTATTATCACGACCATTATGCACCAAAAAATGGCCCTGGTTGGTAGAGAGCTTCTTGGAGGACTCTAATTTTTTTCAATATCATTGTTGAACCACGTAAAACAGCTCATTTCATTGATTGGTAATGCGCCCATCAAATTAGCTAAAGTGTCAGAAAATGCTCAATTTCAAAAAACTTACTTGGGATGCTTTTTGAGAAACACTTTTGGGAAAGTATCTTATCTTACATTTGCTAAATCCAGTCCTCTTTTTGCTATATCCACCCCATTTATAACAAATCTCCAATTATACCCTTGAATTAGTCCACATGTTCCCTTTCCTTGTTTTCACACTTGTAAGGATAAATTTGTCCATTCTTCACAAAAGGTGTGGGTATAGGTGGATTTAGCAACATCCCTTGTACACTCTAGAAAAATGGAACACTAATGTTTACAAATCAAACCTACTCCAAACTGCTAATTTGTAACTGCCAAACAGGGCATATTTCATTACTTAATCCACTTCTTCATGAATACTTATTGATGAAAAGAAAGTACCAGAATAGAGCAAACAACAAATTCTCTCCCAACTCCACCACTCATCTTCCCCCAAATTGTAAGTATCACAGCCAACATCTCAGCTCAAAAATTTGAAAAAGGAAGCAATAACAAAACCCATAAATAATAAGAAATCATGAGATACTAATAAAAATACAGATGTAATAATGATACAGACAGAGAGCATAAAACCCTAGCTAGGTTCACAAAGAAGATTTTTGAACAGAATGATTGGAAATTCCTTCAAGAGATGGGTGGGTATTACTTTTTCTGAAGCTGAGGAGCAGGTGGGTCTTGGCTTGGAGCAACATTAGTTTGTAAGGCGACTGATTTGACTTGTTTTTGCTGATTTTGTTCCTGCGATGGCTCCTCTTGAAGCTCTGTTTCTTCTTCATCGAAATCAGAAGATTCGTAATCCACCAGTGGCATCTCTCTTTCCCTTCAAGGACAACTCGCTCGATTATCTTCTTGTTTTTCCCTGCTAGATTACCCGCTTCTTCTACAAGAACAACCCAATTTTACTATGGAGTCACATGTCCTACCTCTCAAATATATATTTTATACTCCGTATTAATTAGAAAAATAATAATATTCTGAAAATATTTTACTTCCTCCGTCCCCCATAGATCTTTCCATTAACCCTTTTTATTTGTCCAACATAGATCTTCTCATTACCTTTTTTAATAATTAAAATACCACAACTACCCCCACTTACTTTATTTATTACACCTTTTCCACTTTATTTAATACACTCCACCCATTTTCATTAAGGGTATTTTGGTAAATTTTTACCTTTTTTCAACTCTCCTAAAAAACCGTGAAAAGTCAAATTGAGAACATCTTACATGGACGGAGGGAGTATATAATAAATATAATAAAATTATTTTTGTATCAATATCTAATATCGTTTTTATTAAATTAGAAATCAAAGTTTACGTCTTGATTGAAAAAAATAAAAAAAAAAGATACAAAAATTTAGGGATGGAGGGAGTATTTATTTAAGAATAAAGCTATGAGATTATCTCCATTTAGTGAAGGAAGTCGGTTGGGAGTTACCCAAGCCAGTTGTACCAGTCCCCATTGAAATGTCGTAAGCCTCGAACTCCATGTCCGAAAAATTTTAAGAAATTAATTAAGTATGAATAAACGGACCGGTACGAAATCGAAAGAGCGAATTAAAAAGAATGAAGTCAAACCTGAGCGAGGACGGCACCCAGCCTCTGTAGTGTTGCCCGGGGAGGACTCCCCGCGCCCCCTCCTTCATGGGCCGACGAGGTACCCTCACTGCCCGGTTAGCACGGCGCACCCATCTCCCAAAGGAAAACTTATCCCCGTATTGGGATCACCTTGCAAAAGCCTTTCGCATGATTCTTTCAAAAGAAATGAAGATCTTTGATAAACTATAGCCAAATTCTCTTTTGAGTTGAAGAGAAATGGTTTAGAAGTTAAACATTGCTAGAAAATAAAGCATTTAAAGAAAGTGTTTTATTTGTGATCGTGATA